TGTCATATATCTAAAATGCTCCGCTCCAGAAGCCAGACAACATTTTTAATGGCAATTACATGGACATTAGCGGCTGGCCCAAAGCTCAAGATAAGATGGATGCCTTATGGCAGACATTTATTTAATTTTTATATACATCCTGTATTTGGGAGGCGAATCTTGGACAAACTCCTGGCATACACCAGCGCACAGAGCATGAGGATCAATGCAAAGGCACGGCAGTAGAAATTAGGCAGAAAAAAAAAGATGACTACAAAGCCTAAAGAAACCGCTGCGGCGAGGGAATACTCCGGCTTCAAAGTGAATGAGCAACCACATCAATGCAGACAAGCCGGTCTTCCAAATTTATTCTTGTCCAAACAGCAAACACTCATTGCCTCAATGAGGCGTTTTGGGCGACAAAGTACTGTCCCCTCCAAAAGTATCGGAACAGACAACAAGAAATTAACTTGAAGTGAATAACAATTAATATTTGGTGACGTAACCCTTACTTGCAATAACTGCATCTAGCCTGCGACCCACTGACTTCACCAGAGTGTTGCTTTCTTCATTTGAAATGCTTTTCCATGCCTTTACTGCAGCCTCTCTCGGTTCTTGTTTGTTTCTCGGGGGGTTCTCCCACCGGTCTCCTCTTCAGGAGGCGAAAAGCACGTGCTATGGCGTTACAGTCCTGTGATTGACTTGGCTAGTCAAAGACCATCTCCTTTTCCCCTCTGATGATATCCTTTTTTTGTGTTGGCAGTGTATTTTGCGTTATTGTCCTGTGGTAGGGCAGCCCGGTAGTCCAGTGGTTTGCGCATTGACCTCACAGTGCAGAGGTCGTGGGTTGAATGCCTGTTTTTTTTGTTGAGAAAACTGCTCTAAAATGTATTAAAATTAACTGGAAAAAAAATTGAACCACCCCCCCAACAATAAACACAGATAATAAGAACAGAGTTTTCAAAAGCAATATCACATAAAAACAAAAAGGCATTCTACCCCTCCTCCTCCCACAAAAAAATGTATTCCTCCTGAGCCCATAAGTCCATCTTCAAATGGTTGTAATCACAAATGGATCTGACCCATCGGCAGTATCGATGATGGAATCAGGATCGCTAAATTCTTATCGAACCCCACGCCTAATTGGGACTGAACAGCAACAGGGAAATGCCGGTCCCGGGGTCACAGCAGTTGAGGCCCAATGCCTGAGACAACCTCCTGCACAAATAAGCTTCACGGGTTATTGTAATGTCACAAAGAGAGCAACTGGCAAAAGGAAGGAAGACCTGCTAACGCAACAAGAGTCAGGAACTGGACACGTCTTCCTTTAAAAGATAGCGAGGCCACCAATGAGTTTCTTAATGCAAAGACAGGATTTAAGGCAGCTGCTAAAATTCCTCAACCATGAACACACAAATAGACACACATGCGCGCGCACACACGCACACTCGGCTGTTTTTAAGCGCACGGGCAGCTAATGGGAATCCCTCGTAAGTTTTCCTTCCGCTGCTGCTTTCCTCTCGCAGCCTGGAGGCCCCCGCGATGAATGAGGTGGGAAAAAGCGCTCGGCCATTTGTCTCCAGCCATCAGCGGATTCCTTTTGCTTGGCTAACATGCGCACAGAGGTCAGTCAAAGCGTTTACATTACAGTGGTTCTTCAACTTTTCAGGTCGAGGGACCCAGAACCGAATTGTTTCCAAGGACCCCCTCGTAATCCTTATGCCAATTAAAAAAAGAAAAAAAAAACAAACAAACAAAAACGTATGCCTCTAAATGGCAACCTCTTTGAGAAAAAAGCCAGAATGATTAATTCACATTTCAAAAGTTGTCATCGTATGTTATGTGTTGCGTTTATATTATTTTACACAAATTTATTCTTCTAATATGTCTTATTTTTGAAAAAAAGCAACTTAAAAAAAAAACAAATAGGACGATATTCTAAATAAAATATGCCTTTTGTTCTAACCCCACGCCCCAACATCATTCATGCAGGGATGCCAGAGTTAAGTCAGCATCATATCACAGCTTTTCTTGGCCCAAAGCTAAAGTAGGGAGGAACAATTGACTTAGTATGTTTGTTTTATTGGTGATTCTGTCATCATGTGTAGGTGTGGACATTTTGGACACTGAAGGGGGAACCCCTGATTGAGAAAACAACAATGATGAACTAAAGACAGACTCCGATGCTCTTCTATTCCCCCTCCCACCCCAAAAAGAAAAAAAAAAAAGCAGAATAATCTCAGCACCGCATCTTTGAAGTAGAAACTAGAGGAGGGGTAACACGGTGTAATGAAAGAGCACTTGCGCTTCTTCTGGTTTATTCTGACAAGTGTTAAAAAAAAAAAAAAAAAAAAAAAAAAAAAGAAACAAAATAACCCAAAAGGAGATTCCCCTCAACCCCGCCCCCCTTCGCCCCAAGCCACCACACAATTTGTTTGCCTGTGATTAAGACGCCACAGCAGAGGTCAGCCGAGTGCCTCTCTCATCTTGGAGCAGTTGAAATGATACACTATGACTGCATAAAAGTCACTTAGCTGCCGGTATTTGCTCTTATCCTGCCCCGGCTGTTTAACGTTGCTCTTCCATTGCGAACAATTCCGAACATTATCACAGTCAAGACACTCAGGGAGGAAAATAACTCTCATATTCTTTTTCCCTTTGTCCATTATAGATGAGCACTCAGTTGGTCACTGACCCCTCCCTCCTCTTCACTGCCAGAGAATTTGAGCCAAGCGAGCTACTGTAATTAGATGTCTTCGCCTCGATTACGCAATGTAAAATTCATTTGGATCATCTAATTTACACCGGAAACTCCGAGGTTGGGCATGCAGACATTTTGACGTCATGAATGACGTGCAACTTAAGAATAATGTGGCCACGCACGACACCCTTGTCTGATTAATTGTGTACTTGTTTTTTATTTGACCGTTTTCGTACGAATATTTAGTACAATAATAACTTCATTATTATGTCATGTTAGAGATAAACGACTACACATTCGGACTATAAATTCCGATTATCTTGCTGCCGTCGGAATGGAACTCTGACCCCTTGTATTAAATACTGCCATAACATTCTAAGTTGGGTCACGCACCACTTTTTGCGACCTATAAAACGTCAGGAACATTAAATAACCCACGATTCTATCGACTCAATTTGCACGTGTTCCTCTTTCTATGACTCTGGGTTTCCGTTCAATTCAAAATTTACGTCAAAATACCTGAAAATGAAAAAAATACGATGCTATACTTATCACTACTGCTGAGAGGTCTGATTAGGCAGCTGCTTCCGGAACAATCGGGTTTCGTCAACGGTGAAAACTGGCTCAGCAAGATACCCTCCCTTCTGGATTTTTTGGGGCTAGATGACCCTGAAAAACTTTTGTAGCCAATTCACCTGCGAATGCAGTTTACTCCTGGACACTGAGATTATGAGGATTGGCACGGGCAGCGTCCTTGACTTAGTGCTCTTTCAAAGTTTGGAAAACACTCCGTGCCGTTTCCTGAATGAGCGTTAGGCTGATATTAAGCCTATGTTGATTCTGATAATGAAAGTAATTTTTATTATCTCGGCAAGGATCGAAGAACGTTGCTTCGTGATCACTGTATCCCTCATGGGGACGAAACCCTTCACCTGCGCTAAAATGCAGTCTTTGTCCTTAATAACGGTCGCCACGTTCGACCGACTGAAGCAAAGGAACCACAGCAATGAGCCTTGTTCTGTATAATGAATAATAGTTATTGTTAAATAACTACTGGTATTGTAGTATTAATATTGCAATTTGCATTTTCTGTAACACACGCATGCTAGCGCTTCAACTGTGAGCCTTTTAGCTCATGTCACAGATGATTCAATTCTTGTTTTGGTGTGAATAGCGTGAGCTGGCATGGCGTGTCGAGCCAGCTCACTGCTGTCAGGCGACGTTTGAGTCTGGGTGATGGATCAGCATGTGTAAAAGGGTCAGCAGACTACAACTCCCGCCGTCTGTCGCTGGACAGAGACGCTAACAGGGCCCTGACAGATTCCGGCCCCTCCCTCACAACTTAATTCATCAAGCCCCCAAACGAGGACTTTGTAAGGTCAGACCAGGGAGATCACTAACCTATAACAGTCTCAGTTGAATCAGAGACACAGATGGAGAAAAAAAAAAAAGAAAAGATGATCTTATGTTATGCGGAGACGTATTTGAAAGAAATTAGAGACTCTGGAAGAACAAGTAGTACATGTAGTCGCACCACAATGTTGTGTAAACAATCTCTGATTAATTTAAGCGCGGACATTTGATATTAGTCTACTGAGAATTATTGATTTTTTTTCATGTATTTAAAATAGGAAAAACATCAAAATATCTGGAGAACATGAAAACTTCACATAGTAAGGCCGGAGTCTGGATTGGAACCCACAACCTCAGAACTGTGAGGCAGATAAGATAACCAGTCAGTCACTGTGTTGCCCACTTAAATGCCAAGAGCGAAAAATTTAAGCTGGCCCACTGAAAATTATGGAGATGAACTGAGCAAAAAAAAAGCAAAAAAACCATCAAACTGTTACAGCAGCACCACTAACACAGTTCTCAACAACATTACATCAAGCATCAGACCACTTTCCATCACAGAGAGATGGAGAACAAAACTGTGCTGTAGAGCAAGGGATGGGTTCTCCTGATTTCCCAAATCCCAAATCAAACTAACGTTCTACACCAGGTGGCGAGGCAGAAGAGAAAGTAGGTACAGCATAAACTCCAAAACAACGAATAATGAATAATTATCTCCCAGGATGCTCATTTTTGGATGGATTTTTTTTTTAGGCAAGCAGATGTTATTTAATGACTGCAATAATATTGCCAAAATACATTTGAACAGATAAATGTCTATTGCAGAGTATATCAAGTTCCTATTTGTGTACCGAACAAAATGACTGTGTATTGCATGACTTACTGTGTCTGCCAAAAAAAAAAAAACTCATAAAGACAGCAGATCCGTTTGAATTTTATTATTGCAATGTAAATAAATGCAAAGTACCTCGTTTCTGCATGAAGGTAAAGAGATCGTCCAAAAACTCCTTCCTTTTGGGGTCATTATCCAGCTCGTACAACTGAAGAGGAAACGCCATTATTAGCAGCAGCTCAGACAAATACAGATCATGGACTACTTTGTTTGGATTATATCGTGTTCTAAATAATTAGCATTGCCTAATGAAAGCCATTTTAAAGTTGAAACGATCCATTAGGCACCTTTAATTGCACCCACCCCCTTTTTTATTTTTTATTTTTTAATTAAGTCGCACCTTGGCAAAGTCTCTGGAGGCTTCTCCTCTTCCTCTGCTACTGTCCGCCTCGTCCGCCCAGCTTGCGCTTCCGTTCTGCAAGGGAGAGAAAAGCAAAATACAGATAAGCAAGACAAGTGCATATATTTCATCACCTGTTGTCTGGGTTTGGTCATGTGACACAGAGGTAACACGGCATCGATGTTTGCACTTGTTTCTTAAATCCACCAAACTCCACATTCTTCGTTGGCTCTTCTTGATGGACTCCTTTTAAATAGCGTTCAGAGTGGGCTGCCACATAACTGAAATGCCCGGAGTTACAAGCTACATCTGAGTGAAGTGTGTGGACGAACATGCAGCTGGATGTTAAAATGTCAGAAATGACAAGTTGTTCTTAAAAAAAAAAAAAAAAAAACTGCCACGTTCGAGTGGAACTTATGATGAGATCGAGAAAAAGTTTGTAGTTTTCGAACAGTATTTGGTTGAAATAAAAAATTTTCATCACAGCCGCGCCATTTTATGGCATAATTAAGTATTACGCTTGGTACGCTAATATTAGAACTCGTTTGAGGAAAAACACTGGTTCAAGGTGTAAACTATTCATATAAGCAAATTGTAAAAAGATTTCGGGGCCACTTTTTTTTTTTTTTTTTGCTAGACAAGAATGTTTGCTTTTTGCGCTGGGTTTTGGCCCCTAACCCCCATGAACAGTGATGGTCCGCTGTAAATATTTTTCATGTTTTTCCTCCCATTTGCATGAGGCACACCGACAAGTGGTAAACTGAAGCTCAGAAAGCTAATCCGTTCTCAATCTGTGGGAATGCACTTTTCCTGTGGTTGGGAGGGCGTAACCTCTGGAGTTATTGTGCCCCTGAGCTCCTGTGCCCCCCCCCTTTCCACCAGCAACTACCTCTTTCTTTACCCTCAAACATCTCCATTTGACCTAAACCATCTGCATC